GATTGTTGGAATGATTTGCGGTGCAAAAAAATTATGTATTTTGTGCAGAATAAAGTTATACAGATTTTTTAAAGGACTAGGGGTTAGTAAAAGATTACATAATATTTTTTTTGGCTGAACTATCTATTTTGGCTGAATGTTTGAGAAGTTGTATGGTGTTTCAGTAGGCAAGGCAAACTTTATTTATGGCGCACAATTTTACAAAACTGTAGTTGATACAAAGTATTTGACAATACAATACAATATTTAATAGGAAAAATATATATATGCATTAATTGAAATACAGATATAAAATACCATGCATGCATCACTCAAAGGCAAGGGAGTAAAAATAAGTCTTTAAATTAGATTTAAAAGCATCCAATGATGGAGTAAGCTAGTTCTGTAGTCAGTGCACTGCCAGGGAGTTTGCCGTCAATGTGCCCTGAAATATTGCCTGCTTGAAAAGTCCCTTAGTGCACTTTAAAAATCAGAGAGAGAAAAAAAATACAGTTCTCATATTTACAGTGATTATGTAGTTTTAATGTTATGAGACTTTACACCAGTGGTGCCCATTTCATAGCCTCGCTTTGGCTCCCGCAAACCCATGCTTGGAAAGACAGAAGCAGTGAGAAAGTTAAGCACTTTTCAGTCTTGTTGCCGACTTTGTGAATAGGTTTGGGTAGATTTATTGACTATAAAACTATATTGGCTCGTATTGTTAAGTATCAGAAGTCAAAAAGCAGCGTTCATCAGAAAAAAACCCTTAGCTTTTAATGAAGATGGTGCTTTAAATCAAATGCGTATTCAATCGTGCTTTCTTCCCATACTCAATCCCTTTTTTCATTCTCCATTCCATCTCCGTGTTAAGTCGAGGGCCTGTGTCAGTGTGTAATTGGTGAGATGAGGGGGAGGAGTTAATTACATTTAAAGGAATACGTGAATAGGAGGTCTCATGTGCTGTCTGACACGCAGTCACCCTCATGCACACAATGTGCGTCTCTCAGGAGGGACACTCCAGTCCCTAGGTGCACCATTAGACAGATTCACAATGAGAGAAGTTAGAAAAGGAGGGGTGAGGGGTGGCACTTGGCAAACAGGGCATGTATGCAAGCCCTAGAATATTCAATGTTTTCTGTGTGAGTTTGTGCGCTATTCACACTACAAACACACACATATGCACATTCAAACTAATTAAATCAAAACAAAATGAAAACAAAGAATTTACTCTAGCTACCGGCTTTCACTGTTGTTTTCTGTCTGGTGTGAGTTTTGAATGCTCTTTTTGGCAGAGCAGCCACGCTGAACGCTAATAAAACATGTTTATTTATGTTATTCTTGCTGTTCTGTGTTATTTCTCTTAGATAAACATGTAGAAATTGCAGTTCTCCACAGTGTAGTTGATTTCTGGCTTTTAGTGACATTTGGAACCCATAATTTAAGCAGACTTCTGTCCTCACATGAATACACATTCATAACCCTGGGTTACTGCCATCTTAAACACTGCTTATGATCGCAGGTAAGGAAACATTTCACACATGTGATTTAGAAGTGAGGCTCAACTTTTAGCCAGGGTTATGAAACCTTTTTATGGTTTGGCAATGTTAACCTTTCCATTTTTTTACATTTGCTGAATGTGTAGAATGGCTACAGTAGATGCTTAGCACCCACAACCAATTACTTGCTTTTTTATTCACATTCTTCAAACAGTTGCAAAAACACTGCACATTATATTAACAATCATTTGGCCATGCAGTATTGTGTTATGCTGTTTATTTTTCCAGACAGTAACAAGAATACTTAGGTAACATTACTTATTTTACAAACATTGGTGATTTTCAGCAAATGTGTTTCAGTTACAAATGCATCCAAGTTAGCAAATTCCAACAGTACCTGTAACAAGCATTGAGTGGGTAACAAGCATTGATTTATTTATCTGTGTAACTGTTTTTGAGTTGACAATTAGGAAACACAATGCCATACATCAACTGAAAAAAGTAGGATGACATGCTGACAAGAATAATTATTGGGTGGCATTGTTATTTTAGATGCTCACACAAACTTGATCAGGTATGGGGAAAACAAATATGGAACTATACAAATTTTGTATTTTTGTATTGTGTTGTAAATTTATGTTAAGTTTGCGAAGCCAACATGATTAAGCGAAGCCAAACCAATTACATCGCCCCCTGGGGATGGGCTGCGGTGTAGGTCATAAACTCCACCCTCTCTATGTAAATGAAAGGGACATGAGTAAAAAAACAAGGCCCAACCCCAATTCTACCCTTAAGCCCTTACCTGCTGTTTTGCGTGTTCACGTGAAGGGGTAGGGGTGTCCCAATTCTTTTTAGCTTGAAGGGTAGGGCTAAGGGAAAGGGCTGGATAGCCCTTGAAACAGAGATTTTTCAGGACCACACTTGAAACCAAGGGGTATGAAAATATTCCAGAATGTACCACCTATAACAGCAGCATGGATGTCAGGAGATGCACAAATTAGTATTTTTTGTCATTAATATGATGTGCTCGTGTTTTACTGTTATGCTTTTTAAAAAAAACCTAAGGTAAAAAAAAGCGGAATAAACTGCCAACTTATCCATCATATGTTTATGCGGCTGATGTCCTTCCATCTGCAACCCATTTCTGGAAAACACCTACACACTTACACACTACGGACAATTTAGCCCACCTAATTCACCTATACCGCATGTCTTTGGACTGTGGGGGAAACCGGAGCAGGGGAGAACATGCAAACTCCACACAGAAACGCCATGTCTGGTATAATGTTAATTTTGCGTGTTTACATGGATGAATATGGCCATGGTGTAAATGCACAGTATAGTTAGGGGTACTCAAATAGAAGTTAAGAAGTTAGAAAATAATAAGTTACTTTTCATATATATATATATATAATTTTATTTTTTATTTTTTTCATATATATATTCTCCCCAAAGATACATTGATGTTGCATGTTTGCAGTGGGGTCCACAGGAGCTTGGTTGAGATATAAATAGTCATCACATGATCAATGCAGTGCAGATTCAGGTTCCAATTTAAAAAAAAGATGTCTGTGCCCAGGCTGTGAGGATGCATCGTCCAACCTTTTCTTTCTTTTTTCCGCATTCTATGGAAATGTTCGCTTTGCATGAAAAAACCATGACAAATGTACAATTACAGTTTTGATTATCATTTGATTTAGTCAAGATAGTTTTGCATTAAATCCAATGTAATTCTTGTAATTGAGATCTGGCAGCAACATCACTTTTTTCTGCATGGCCAAGCAGTTCATGGACTGCTTACCTCGGGCACGAAATCATCCACACGCCAACAAAACAACGAGAAAGCACAACAATAATGATGAGTCATAGCAATAAAGCTTAGGCATTTTGGCGTAGGTGCCAAAACTGTTGGAATCTGCTAACCTGGATGTATTCGTAACTGGAACAGATTTGCTGGAAATTATCATAGTTTGTGAAATAAGCAGTTTTATCCAAGTATTTTTTGTCAGCTAAATGTTACACCTTATTCTCATCAAAGTTATGAAGGAGCATATCACATCCTCGTATTGTGGGAACATGTCTGGTAAATTTCCATCAATAGGGGTGTTTTTTTTTTACACTGTTGTGTTTGGCTTGTTTGGTTGGGATCAGTAGAGCTCCTCTACAATGAATCACATTCTCCACAATGAACAATACCAGCAGTCATTCATTCATTCATTTTCCTTCGACTTAGATCCTTATTTATCAGGGGTCACCACAGAGGATTGAACCACCAACTATTCTGACATATGTTTTACACAGTGGATGATGCCATTCCAGCCACAACACAGTAATAGGAAATACCCATACACTCTTAGATTCGCACATACATTCATTTATTCATTTTCCTTTGGCTTAGTCCCTTTACTCATCAGTGCCCGCCACAGCAGAATAAACCGTCAACTTATACGTTTCACATACATTTTACACAGTGAATGCCCCTCCAGCTGCAACCCAGTACTGGAAAACATATACACACATTCATTCACACATACACTATGGCCAATTTAGTTTATTCAATTTAGACTGTGGGGGAAACTGGAGCACCCAGAAGAAACCCAAGTGAACAGGGAGAGAACATGCAAACTCCACATGGAAATGCCAACTGGCCCAGCCGGGACTCAAACCAGCAACCTTCTTCCTGTGAGGTGACAGTGCTAACCACTGAGCCACCATGTCGCCCTTCACACATACACTACATCTAATTTACTTATTCTGCACGTCTTTGGACTGTGGGGGAAACCGGAGCACCCGGAGGAAACCCACGCGGACATGGGGAGAACATGCAAACTCCACACAAAAACTGGCCCAGTCAGGACTTGAACCAGCAAGCATCTTCTTGCTGTTAGGTGACAGTGCTAAACACTGAGCCACCGTGCCACCCCTAATACCAGCATTCTTCAGAAGTGGATGTGATTGGTGTACTAAAATTGTTTAATAGTCTAATTTGTACCTTATTATTGTATGTTCGTCTGGGTAAATTATATCTGCTTTGTATAAAGAGTTAAAGAAATAAAGGTGTCTTGATTAGTATTAATCGTTGATTCCATGCAAGAACTGTAAATTACTGTCTGAGCTAAAGGTGATGCAAGAAAACTGAAGATTCTGTTAACTCTGGAATCAGAATAACTGCGGGATAGCTAGTTTAAGTGTGAAAAGCTGTACACAGTTAGAAACAGTTGGTATAAATCAAAAACGTTCCCAAATGTGTATCCAAACACATCCCTGACATGTTATGGCAAATCCCTCTCATTGACATCACTCTGTAACCTCTAGCTGTCCGTCTCTGTGGTATGACAAACCATAATATAGCAGACACACTTTTTCATCAGCACTAAATCAACTGTTGGTTTGATGCGTTCTGCTGTAGTGTGGTTTTGGAAAAAAAAAAGTCTTTGTACTGAATTCAGTAGAAAAATGTTTTATTAATTGCCATATGTTTATTGACTTCTCTTTCATGTCTGTTCTTTTGTTCTTTCTTTGTAGTGGCAAAAGATCCCTGTGCATCATCGTTTGGGAGCGATCTAAAATGTCAAAGGTGTCCTTTTGATGTCGGGTATGGGCCTCATGCAAGGCAGCACCTGTGTGGGACGCCGTATGCATTTGTGTGTGTGTGTGTGTGTGTGTGTGTGTGTGTGTGTGTGTGTGTGTCATATTCACATTCAAACTGTCAGGCTGTTCCTTTGGGAGCAAGGGATACTGAGGAGAGACGAATGTAAACTGAGGTTGTGCTCTCACATGCTTCCTCTCTCTCTCTCTTTGTCTCATTTATTAAGTGGAGTGATTGTAATGGTTTGAGTATTGAATGTTTGCAATGTTGATCTCTTTGATCCTGATACGGTACAATCTGGCTTACACTGAAGCCCATCCCACTGTGTGCTGCAATGCCTGTTTTACTATCCGTCCAACCATCACTGTCCTCTCCGCTATAGATGAATGAATGGATGCTTGTTTATGTGAACCTGTGTTTGTGGGCTGAATGTGTGTGTTTCAGCAGCTGTAACGTGTGTTGCAGATTCGAATCTGAACTCATATTCACTCCATCTGCTGGTCAATTAGATGAACACACAGAAAATGCTTGAGCCTTTTCAGACTTTTTGAACAAAGCTAGCTTGTTTGTATAAAGCTCTAGTACAAACAAGCAAAATGCAAATTTTAAATACAAAATAAAACACAGAAATACAAATGAGCTTTTAATCATACCATTGGTTTTACTTTCTTAGAAGCCAGTCCAACAAACAAGTGGAAAAATACCTGAAGGAATTGTATTAATGTACTTAATGAAAACAACCAAGCCGCAAAAAACAAAACAAAAAACACATTACTAATTCTCTTGCTCTTCGTTGTGTTATATATCAGTGTGTTTTATATTCCTCCACAAGTACACAGTGTCTGGAGAGTTCTCTTATGAAAACCGAGTGTGCTTTGTGTATGTGTGTTGGAGGAATACGAAGAAGAGAGCAGAGTTTTTCAATGTGTTCTTAAGCGTTCTTGCATTCTCAAACAACATCATCATAAACTTCCAAAGTTTAAGAAGAACGTTTAAGAAAAAGGCTGCATTTGTTCCTGATATTGCTAATGCATCAGATGCAGACTTTAGAACAGCAGTCGCTCGAAATCTCAGAAGTCATTGCAGCTCAATAAAGGAATAGGGAAGTGCAGCATCTTATATTCACTATTATTTACTGTTTAGAGATATTTCCCTATATGAAACAGTGAAATTAAAATTGGTTTTATTTGTATTGGCCAAAGTATCTTTGTAAGAGTTTTGTACGTTACATACAGTATTTATTAAAAAGGGGAAAAACATACAGTTACTCGGTGTATGAATGTTGTAATGTTTGTTTTCTGTAAAATGCATGTGTCATGAAGTCTCATTTCTCACATTATATGTTTTACTGGTCTTCAAGTTTGTTTTTCCGCAGTAATTTGAAAAGACCGGTCTTTGTGCAAATGCAAGTCCATTGTCTGCATTCTTGGTATTGCAAAACAGCCTCAATCACAATTGAGTGTTTGGCACTTCCTGACTCTAGAGGAAGCTGAGGTATTGTGTTGTTTTTGCCATTTTCAGTACATAAATATCAATCAATTAGTCAATCAACCTTTATTTATAAGCACTTTACTACAACCAAGGCCGACCAAAATGCTTTACACAAATAAAAGCAAATTATACAACAAAACTAAAAAGCCGACAATGCAAAACAATACAAGAAATATCCATAATATACAACAAACATTAAAACATAAAGTAGTCTGAGTGCCATGCATTGTAAGGCAACTTAACCAAGTGAGTCTTAAGCTTGGCTTTAAAAAGTGGCAGGTCAGTGTTTGTACAAAGCTCAGTAGGAAGGGTATTCCAAAGTTTAAGACCTGCTACTACAAAAGAGCGATCACCCTAATCCTTGTATCTTGACCAATATACTTCAAGCAGAAGTTGTTCAGCAGATTGCAAAGCTCTGCTGGGTTTGTGAATGTGCAAAATTTCACATAAATAAGTAGGAGCAAGGCCATTGATGGCATAAATACATGTTTATGTATTTGTCGTTAATAATATGTTACATGTTGGTTGTGTTCAGTTCTGGGCGAAATACACCTTCTTTGAAAGACCTGCATGAACTTACATACTGTAAAACATGCATGAATATCATTACTGGGTGTCCGCGAGGTCTTAAAATGTCTTAAATTTAAAAAACAAAATTTTAGGCCTTAAAAAGCCTTAAACACACTGATTACTTATTAATATATTGTTGTTGGTCTTAAATCATGTTAAACAGGTCTTAATTTTCCTAGTAAAATTAATTAAAGTTACTCAATCACCAATAATCCATCTCTAAACTTATATATATAAGCTGTTAGACATGTTACACAAATTCCCTAAGCAGTGAAAGCAAACTAAAGCAACACTGATCTTCCATTAATACAAATACTATTTACTGAAGTAACTGGGACGTTAGAAAAAATCTTTAGTGTGCAAACCTGAAAAAGTCTTAAAATTGGTCTTAAAAAGTCTTAAATTTGACTTGCAGAAGCCCTGTATTATGATTAGCTGTTTTGCTTGAGGGTAAAATATTTCTTTATTCTGATTTCAAGCGTTCAAATTGGTCATGCTCTTCTGATCAACAGAAATGTAAATCTTGGTTTGAATGTGAATTTAAAGCTGTGCTTTATATGTCTTTATCGATTCTAATCTAGAAAATATTGTGCTTTACTTGAAATGCATACAAAATGCAGATTTTAATTCAACTATGCATCTAACTGACTGAATGAGAGATGGCAGAGGGAGACAGCAGTATATACTTTGCTAATTGATAGCATCAGGATTAATTAACTGTGAGGAAATCACTGGCTCTTAACAAATGTTTGCGTCTTGGGAGAAATCGAATGAGAGGCATGGTGAAATGAAGGTGCTCCTGCATGAAGCATGCTGTCTCTCTCCCTCGCTCTTTTTATAGCTAAATGTAGGTTGATGGTGGCAGTTTGCTGACATCTTTGTTAATAGATCCCTATAGATGAGAGGGGATTGTTCTCTGTGTTTTACTCTGAGAGGCATCAGTCAGTAATGGGAATATGGATAATTACTTTTCATTTATCCTTCTTGTTTCGACATGTAAACCCTCCAGATGATTAAAAGCTGTGTAATTCTACAGCACACTGACTGCATAGTTGCTTTGTTTTGGCCAATTTTTCTATTTTTTTTGTACCTGTCTTAAAAAACACTGGTGTCTAACCAACAACCCTCCCTTTTTTTGTTTCCTTTGATTACATCTCGTGTTTACATGTTAGTGATTTGTTTTTATTGCAAGTAGTGCCAAAATGATTTGGACTCAGTTTGTGGACACGCACAAATGCACTTAATTACTTTGCCTATTCTTTTCCTAAACGTCTCCAGGCAAAATGCATTTGAATGGCTAAATTTAAAGTTGAGTGTGTGTGTGATGTATATTAGTATTAGATTAGGATGGACGAGCAGAGGTGAGGGGTCAAAGAGAGGGGGTGTTTGAACCTTTGTCACTTTATAGTAGTCAGAGCTGAAGGTCAGAATAAGCTTTGCTCTGAGAGACATGTAAGATTGCTGTGTGTTGGAGAACTAAACAGAAACTGAATCAGTATTTGGTTAACCTGAGTTGACCCAGACAGGTCACATAAGTCATTTGCATGAATTTTATTTAAGAAAAGCATTTGAGTTGTTACCAAGACTTTTTTGGGGGGTAATTAGGTCATATTAAGGCTGTTATATTTGGGTTTTTCCTCTGTGAGTGTTTGTAGACTGTCAAACAGCATCACTGTGTGTCATCCATGTCTATTTCTGATAACTGAGGATTTATTAAACAAAACAGAGACACTGAAAGATATTGCAAGTGATTTGTGACTCTATAAATTATTAAACAGCACGTTTGTATGTATGGAATTGGGATAATATGCGTTTCATGTCTCTGTCATTTGGATCCTAAACTGAGGAGCTGCAGCTGTGTCTTAATTCATCAATATTTCATAAATAATTATTTTCTCAAGATTGTGAGATTCATTTCTTTAGGGGAATGGGAGTGACTTGTTCTCTTTTTTTCTCTTTTTCTTTGTCTGCAGATTTTCTCTTTTTTGGTACGTACTAGGTTAAAGCGAATGGAAACAAACATGAAAAATGTTCATGTTTTATTAACATTATTAACTTCAGATTGATAATATTAATGTCTAATGACTGCTTTACTTTTTAAAGCACATGTGTAATTTCCCTTTTGCCTTCGGAAATCATCAGACAGGCCAACTGTTTTTCTAGTCTTATAATTTTGGCAAACCTGTTGTAATTGTTTCCGCAGTTCACTCCTCTTAGCTGACATCATTCAGAGGTTTTCTTCTGCATATCTTGGTTGAACAACTGAATATTTGAGTTACTGTTGCATTCCGGTCAGCTCGAACCAATCTGGCCACTCTCCATTGGCATTTTCACCAACAGAGCTGCCACTAAATTACTTTTCTTCTTCATTCAAATGCTCATTTGGGACTTCAGCAGATCATCTTGCCTATGTCTACATGCCTAAATGCATTGCGTTGCTGCCATGTGAGTGCCTATTTAGATATTTATTTTAACTCTTGTGCACTGTTCAAATTTACTACCCTTTTGTTATGTTCAGGATGAAAATATTAACTGAATTTAACTGCCGTAAAAATGCATCAGAGAAATGTTTTTATTTATTTATTTTATTATTATTTTTGCATATAACTGTTAATCTAACTCAGTCCTGACAAAATGTTTGATTTTCTCAGACAGATACATGTGCTAAGGTCACTCTCACACTCGCATCCACAGACTTTAATATGCTGTTATACTCCATATAAAATCCAGAAACTAAGCTTTTTTTATCTGAAGAGTTAATGATGCCAACTGATGATCAACAGTAAAAATTACAAATTTTACCTCTTTCCAACAGGGAAAACTACCAACAATCAAAAATATGACAATATGGTGTTAGTGCTTTGCAATCAAAAAATGTGGTTATAATGGAACTCAACGAGGCAAAAACAGCCACCAACAAGTAAATTAGGGAGAATCCTTTTTTAAATCAATCAAAAACAAAGCATCAAAGGCAATGTTGTTTCATTGATAAAAAAGGTAAAAGAAATCCAGTTCACAATTACTTTTTAAATTGAAAATTCGTCAAAATCAGTGACATCATCAGTGTCAGTCATCAGAATCAAATCAGTGACATCATTTATGAATTTGGCAATTAAAGAGTTAAATCCTGCAACTTTCTAAGCAATTTAGTAGTTTTGATCGGGACTAAGGTTGATTAACAGATTTATGCAAAAAAATCAAAAATAAATATCTGATGCATTTTTACAGCAGTTTAATTCAGTGGATGTTTTTCATCGATAACATAACAAAAGGGTAGTTAATTTAGTTGTATTGTTGAGCTCCTTAAAAATGTCTAAGCATTTTTTCTAAATTTGTGTCAAAATAAGATTTGTCACCAAAAATCATTCTGCTAGTTGAAATATGGTTTTAATAGATTTCTAGTATTTATGTATTTTTTTACATTATAAAAAGTATAATATGTCCAATGCTAAACATCTCCAGATATGCCCTGGCAATACGTCATAATGTTATGCCAAAGAGATCTTTGACCTTGAAAAGCTTTACTTGAATGAAACCACCACAGCTGTGTTGTTGCAAGATCTTTTTAAACGCTTCCATCATGGGCATGAGCATGGTAATTGACTGACAGATACAATCTGAGCCATAATCTATCATCAGCAGACTGTATTGCTTTTTAGGAGGAGCTAATGGGGCTTGTCTGGCCATAGTCTAAATGTTGACAAAACAGCCCGTGTGTGTGTTGTGTTTTACCTGGTGTTAATAGCCTGATTGTGTGTGGGCGATGGGGTTAATAAGATGATGAAGGTGTTGTGGAGTTCAGGGGTCAGGAGGGTGCCAGCTGCAGGCCTGAAGGCCCCACTGCTCGTCCCAGACAAGGGCTAGTGACCAAAGAAAGCCTAAGGCCACCAGTGTCACTGTAGGACTCTGTCTGCTCCTGCTAAGAGAGTGATGGATACTCAGCCCAGAGGGGAAATGACCCCAAAACGGCCAGCTATAAAAACAGTGGGACACAATATTGCATGTTTGAACTATGCTCCAGCTTTGTTGTAGAGAATAGATTGAGCATTGTATGAATAAAGGAGAGTTGTGGATGGATGGACGGTTCAGTGACATGCAGAGATCATCTGAGGCCTCTTCTAATGGCTGTGTTCAGTCCACTATTGTAAGTGTCTTCTTAACAAAGGAAATCATCCGGATGCCTAAGGCCGCTTATGTT